GAGAGCCGGTGGTGTGCCGCCAGCCATTCCCCTGTGCTCAGGGATGGACACTGAGAATCAGAGCAAAGGGGGGTGTCTTTCATGTGCCTTTTATTGTCTAATCTAGTGATTTTCCTTATTTAGCAAAAAAACCCCAAGGCTGTCGGGAAGAAGGGGCTGGTACGGCATTGCTAGTGGTGGCGACAGCTTTTCCTGTAGATCCCAGAGGACGTGCAAGGACAAACAGCCGGGAGACCTCTGGCGCACGCAGTTCGCAGGGCTCTTACCAGCGTAACCTAGTTACTTGATTGGGAATCCCATAAGCCACAAAGACATTTCTATCTCAGTAACTAAATTTGTGTTGATTTTGCTAGTCAATAAGAAATATCAGACTCTATAGTTAAAAAGATTTAAAGGCTTACAATAGATTTTCCTTTTGATTGATATCTAGGATAATTTGCAGTAGTGAAAATGGAAAAGGTTCCCATCCCTTTCTATCTCTGCCTCGGTAAGGAGCAGCAAGTTCTTACGGAGCTGCACAGGGCGGAAGCCTTTGCTCTCTGCTCTCAGCTGCTGCATTTTCAGACGGCTGCAGCCACTTAGGGACTGTTGTCCCACCAGTTACTGAACTGTGCGAATTGATAAGCAAAGTCATGTAAGGTAATTTAGAGAGATTGTACACACCGGAGAATTTAAGACTGTGAATTAAATAACATACTGTCTGTGAATGAAACATAGGCTAAAATTAGCCACAGAATAATGTAACGTAACCGGCAGACTCAGATTTGAAAGGATATGCTTTAGGCTTCTTTTACTAATCCAACCTAGTGTTTCAGTAATGAACGTATCGGCAGATGATTTTTTCTTTTTTTCTTTTTTCTGTTCTCCTGATGGATAGCTGTTCTTGGTAACGAGCAGTAGCCTTCTCCAGGAAAGCCCTGCCTTTCAGGGAAGCTCTTAAGCATATGCATAATTTTAGGCGCGCGCAGAATCCCCGCTGAAGCTGAGCGCATGCTTACAGCTGAGGGTATGCTTAAGAGCCTCCCTAAATGAGGGCCTTGATGTACAATTTGGAGGAAAGAATATATGCTGCTCAGTAGTCAAAGCATTCCAATTTACATAAATATTTATTTGTTTTCCATTATATATCATTTTTATGCAGGTGCTTGTGGGATGGATAGACGTCAGAACACATACATAATGGAAAAAAGCTTCAAAGGTATGGTATCCAGTGCCTGCAGTCACCCTGGCAAAGAGTTTGAGGAGGGTGTCGTAGAAGAGGTGAGATAGGAGCCCTGAGCACCCGGGAGAGTGGCCGTGCAGAGACAGAAAGGGACAGAGCAATTACCTACAAAATCCTCCTGCGCGGCTCAGCTGGCAGCACTCTTGTCTCCGAGGCAGATGTCGGGGGGCCATGAATTATGGATGCAAGTCTTCACGGTGCCTCAGCAAAGCAGCACCAAACAAAAAGGGAGGGCTTTGCTGAAGGGCCAGGAGGTGCAGGTGGAGCTGTCTGGGCAGGGGAAGCTCTTTTAGGACCTGTCACCCATCCAACAAGGGCTTTCTGGTGGCAGTTGCTGATGGTGATAGACTGGTGCATTTGCCTGCTAAGTTGTGGCTCCGTGAGGCACTCGGCCATCCTGAGCTTAAACAAAGCCACTAGAAAACAAGCTGACCCTGCTACGTGGCCTTCCCTGAATGAGATTTATAGCAGAGCTTGAGCAAAGCCCTCACCCGGTACATTAACCCGTCACGCTGGCCCGAAGCAATTAATGGGCATTGACTCCAGGGCACTTCTAAAAAGGGCTCGTAGCTGAGTCATGAGCACAAGGCCCAGCAATTTTAGATTTCAGTTGTCCTCCAGGTTTGCATTCAAAGTATTCCAGTTGTGTACGGCCTACGTGGCCAGTTGGCACAGTGGTCCCCAGCGACCGGGCTGGGGCTGGGCACACTGAACCGGCGGTCCAGCAGACGGAGCGAGGAGGCTGTCTCAGTGGGAATAGGCAGGTTTCGCGCTGAGGTCCTCCATCTGAATTCAAGCCTGTTGCGTCTGTACACAGCAGCTGGGAACATCCCTCCACCAGCCAAGGAGGTACATACTGCACGGCCTCTTTCCGTAACGTCCTCGAGCCGGCGTCGGCTGAGGAATGGGGAGAATGGTGCCTTCACACAGAGCTGGTTTCAGGACACCCACTGGTCTGCTACGGCCGAGGTGTTAGGGAGCGAGACCTTTACCTGAACTAACAGGGAAAGTTGCAAGTCAGTCCACGGAAAAAACAATGACCAGTTTATAGCCAGGCCTAGATAACGCTAATAATTTCGTAGCTGCTGTTTACAAAATAAAGTGATATAATATTTGCTAAAATATAGCTTTACCACACAGAATCACCAAAGGAAACCAATAATCCATGACCACGTCTTTCTCGCTAAAGCTAAATTTAAAATATTAAAAGGGTTATGTATGTATATTTGACTCAATCCACTGGTTTCAGCTACTTCAATGATTTTTCAGAAAAAAAATCTTATAGTAGAGCTAGTTGTTCTCTTTACATGGAACTATTAATTTCAAGATTAGTTTCAACTAAATTACTGTGTTTACAAAGCTGAAAAGCTGCTTTAAACCCACGCAGTAGGAATTCCCGTCCGTAGACACAGTCACACAGAGTGGGGTACCAGTGGGAACGAGAGCGAGAGAGAGAGAATTACAGCAACAGCGAACCGTGAAATGTATTTTCTGCTGCTACTTATTTTGTTTATTATTTAGGATCTGAGCCGTTTCTTTACATGTTTATCTGCTATGAATTGCAAAATCAGGCCTTAGAAGCCATGTCGGGAAAGGTGATGTGTTCTTTGTGGCCGCTCAGGCAGGGCTGGCGCTGGCAAGGGCACACAGGAACACACCTGACGTCCCAGGAATTTTTCGGAAGCTGACCTGCAGGCAGTGGGCAGCTGAGATTTCTCAGAAACATCTGCCTTTGGGTGGATAAAGGTTTCCGCCACTCCAGTCTGACGGTCACTTTCTGGGTTCAGGCAGCCCCGGGGCTCTGGCAGCAGCATGGGCACCCTCCGTCCCGGAGGAGCCTCCCACCAGAAGGAGCCGGGTGACGTGCCCGATGCTCCGTGCGCAGCTCTCCTTGCCCTGCCAGGTCCTGCATTGGCCCTGACTCACTAAATGCATCTGAAAGACGGAGAGAAAGCACCTGCTAAGCTGGAGCATTCAGATAAAAGAAACTCCCAGTCCCCACCAATCGGATTCTGTCAGCAAAAAGACTCGGCAGGCGGGTGCTTTGGTTTTCTATACTTTTATACACTTTAAAGATGATGTCTTTTCCCATCGGTATCTGTTAGGTCTGACTGGAGAAAGCCTGCCCTGCAGTCGAGAATCACGTGCGGTGCTCCTGACCCCAGCCCAGCGCGTGGCACGGGATGCACCGCCGGAGGGGACACTTGGCTTCAGGCGGAGGCCAGGCTGTGGTGGACCTGCTCCGCCACCCGCTTCCCCCAGTTCCCCTCTGAGGAGAGCCGAGCCCCCCAGCTCCGCAGCCCAGAGAAGGGCGGCCAGGAGAGGGGTGATGTCCCTTTTGCAACGTGCCACCAGAAATGCAGTGGCCATGCGGCTAGTGGAGGGCCAGGGGGGTAGGGGAGTTAGGCACGGCTGGTTTGTGTTTGCCGCAGTCACCCACGGCCAAGCCCAGCTCACGCCGCGCCGTCCGACAGCTCCTTCGCGGCAGCAAGGGGCTGGACGCCATGGTGCCGGCTCTGAGCCCCATGGCACGTGGGGACACTGGCTGAACGGTCACCAGGTTTTCAGAGCAGTTTCTTTCCTGTGTGTGGTGTTCAGTGATAGCATTTCCAAGCTTTTCCTTGCAGCTGAGTCCTTTTCTATCTTTTAATTTTTATTTTTTTTAATGAAGGCTGATGCACTGATGGAGTCGGTCAGTGCCCGTTAGTCTGGCACTAACATTTTAAGGAAAAAAAAAACCCCATGCTTTGCACGATACCCAGCAAAATCCCAGCAGTTAGAAACACTAATGCACTTACCCCAGGGACTCGGGGCTTGGTTCAGTGTGGTTCATTTGTTTCTTGTACAGGAACATGTCCCCACAACTGCGTCCCACTGAAAAGCAGCAATAAGCTGTCGCTATATTACTGTCCTAGCAGCAGCAAAGGTTAGCCACGACAAAAAAAGCCGCCAGAAAGGCACGCTGCACTGAATGTCACCCATAAATGTGATTAACTGGTAGGAGAGCGTGTTTTACCTGGGTACATCATATTTCCTTAGCACTTGAAACGTGGCAGTAGGTACCGAGGCTTGTCATTAGTGTGCCAGAGGATATTCAGGGCGAAAGAGAGGAACCTGGTCTGTGGGAGGGACGAGTACATTTCCAGTCCCCGGTAACAAAAATAAAATCTCCTTCAAAGGTCTGGTGATTGGTATCCAGGCAACACAGAAGACAGGGACTTCAAAATTAGAGCATATTCCCCGTATTTCTCTAGCGTGCCCAGCTGATGAAGTGCTCCCAGTGAGTCCCAGCACTGCTGGTGGCGGTGCCACCGGTCGGGCTGAGCTTCGCACCTCGCGGAGAGCCCGGCCCCGCGGGGATGCGGGAGGGTGACGAGGGGCACGGCCACAGCTCACACGCGGCCTGCGGGGCGAACGGGCCGAGAATTGCTAAAGACGTTTGTTCTGGGTGAGATTAATTCATGAAATGGAATTTGATGATTGATGCCAGGCTTTGTTAATTATCACCAAATTACCTTAGTAACAAAGTCACTCAGATGCTCCCACATCCTTTAAATTCTCTGCGATCTTGCGCATAATGTGTCTTGTGGGCTAACGACTCCCTGGTGTATAGCACGTTACCAAACATACGCTGGTGCTCTGTAAATTATATTGTACCCGGAGCGAAGGGTCTAATCCCTAGCCAGGCACAGAGTTCCCATTTACGTCAGCGGGAATCAGCTCTTAGGCGTGCTGTTTCTCAACATCTTCTGGGAAAAGGCAATTCCTGGGAGAGGCCGAGTGAGTCTGGGCAGCCCAAGCGGTATTTCACTGCTCTTCCCTGGGAAGGGACACCCGCCCGGGAGTCGTGTCAGCCCTGGCAGCGGTGCAGGCGAATTTTAGCTGAGAGAGATAAAAGTAGCTGAGCTGGACTTAATAAAAGATATGATGCGCAGGGATTTTCGCCTATGCCAGCTCTGATGAGCCCGCTTCCGTAAACAAACCGGCACTGACCCAGGCATCTGGTTACCTGCGTGCTACAGCACGGCCGCGGCAGGACGTCTCACTCTCCCCCCTTTCTCGCTGTAGTGGCCAGCAGGCTTTTATAATCTACAGTTTATGAATTTAAACCCAGCTCTGTTTTGACTTGTTCCCCGCCTCCAGCCGTGCTGCCGACAGGAAGTGCTTTGTAGAGCATTCTCGGGGCACCATCAACCTCGTGCTCACACGTGGAGCTTGCTTTGCACGCTCAGCCTCGCACGGTCCGAAAGCCGCACGCACCTATTCACGTTGCCCGCTGGTGTGAGCTCCTGCCTTTCGCCCTTCCGTCCCCCTGAGCCTCTGCTCAGCACCATGCCTTGAGGCAGAGAAGCACGTTTGCAACAGTCTTGCTGTCCTCTCGCCCCAAAATTTAGAGCTGGCTCATTAAAGGCTGCCCAGGCTCTCCTGATGGTAGTAGCCACCAGAAACTGTAACTTGCTGGCAGGTGGGGCTGAGCCCTTCTTTGGCTAAGAAAGATTTTCATTTTATTATCGGATTTGTTAGCCCTGGGCTGTTGTCTCCTCACCTTTAAACACTAACGGATCCCAGACTGCGTGGCACCTTTATTTCAGCCCTACCCATAGCAAAAGCTAATAGCATTGAGCTCACCGGGGTACGGAAGCCTTCGGTCTCGCAGGGTTGTTCCATCACTTGCTCAAAGCACAGGATGGGACAGCTTTTCGCTGACTTGCCTGTACTGGGGGGGGGTGGCAAAGCCGGAGGGCCAGGCCCTGCTGCCGGCAGCTGGGTGATGGTTGTGTCGCTTTGGTTCCTGTCTCCTGTCACGTACCAAAAGAGACGTGCTTCACTTGGAAGCAAAGGCACCGTTAATCTTACCCAGGCTGAAGTCAGACGAGGAGTTTCTTAATTTTATTACTAAATAAACATTGCAGCGGTGCCAGGGCCTCTGCCAACCCTCACGTCCCTGAGGGTCCCACCATGGTCCAGCTGGTTTGCTTTGCAGTGGAGCTTCCTACCCAGCTGGTTTCACCGACCCCGAGAGCTGAGGGCTCTAAAGCTTTGCTCGGGCCGCTGAAGCTGGAACACAGAAATGCAACAGCTTGCCGCAGGGCAGGACTGGCACCTTGCTCAGCGCTTTTCCCCCAGCTGAGCCATGACGAAGGGCACCAGGCCCGGGGGAGGCCGATGGACACACACAGAGACACAACCCCAGAGCTGAAGGAGGGACAATTGCAGCACAGAGTGAAGCAGACCCGAGAAGTGGGTTAGCAGGCCGGGGCGGATAGGCACAGAGCTGAGGTTTGTAAAGGAGAAGCGATATCTTGTTGTCTGTCTATTTCTTAACCTGAATTTCTCTTTTTGTCTCCCATACTAGATAGCGGGGGCAGCTGGGATTGCAGCTATTTTGCAAGTCCCGCTATTTCACCGGGAGTATTTCATATATACCAGGATCTGCCTTTGTACTGTAACCCAGCACAAGAAAATGCCTCATCTTTCATTGCATCGCTCTAATTCTAAATTAATGGCACTGCCCAGCAGGATGCACACAGCAGCAATGGCACGTTCTTAAATGTCAATGTTAAGACCTATTTATTCTCTCTTGTTGTTTTTTATTATTATTTTTAAAGCAAGACTGGCACTGTACCTTGCGGGAGGCTGGCATACCCCAGCCAGGGTCACCGACAGGGGAGACCGGTGGTGACAGCTCTCGCGCCAACCTTGTTCTCCCCACGTAGCGCCTCCTCCGCCACCATCTCCTGTTTCCTCCGGCCCAGGGGAGAGGAGCAGCAGATGTCTACAGCACTGGGGAAAACAAAAAGCAAAGCAAAAGCGAGGCTCGGATGGAGGCTTGTCCCCCATCCTGCGGAAACCCAAGCGTTCCCCGCTAGCAGGAGCAGCCTCCTCCCGGTCTTAATGGCAGAGGGAACATGAAGAAGTTGGTTTCTGCTGGTGCTGGATAGCCCCAGAAACCGGAGCTCTCAGGGGACGAACGCACATACGCTGCGCTGATGCAGTTCTACGCCTGCTGGAAATGTTTTGCTTTCAGACATACGGCATTTGATGTTGACCAAAGCCCCTGGGGACAATAACCCCGTAGCTGGCCCAGCAGGCCAAGTACCGGCAGAAGGTCCTGCCTGCAGAGCCGACTCGCCACGGCCCCGTGCATGGGTCTGCGGGGCAGGCGGAGCCGGATTAAAACGTAGCTCCTTAGGAATTAAGGGGAGGGAGGGAAAGGATTGCCACCTCAAATTAAATATTGCAGTAAATGACAACTAGAACCTTTTACAGGAAAACCTTCGGTATCGAGCAGGTTTTTACGTCTTTCCTGCTAGTGAGTTGTGGATGCAATGGTCTGGACGCACCCAGAGCACAAGCGTCGGGTGTCCGTGCTGGATGCTTCAAGGATCTCCCTTGTCCCCCTGCCCACTTGCCCCCCCTCCCCTTCCTGCAGAGGTTCAGTTGTAGTTAACCGGAGGAAGCTAACCACTCTAACACGCCCACTCCGCTCTTGTTTTGCAGATTATATGAAAGAATCTGTGTGCAGCTCCAGCACTTGTTCTCTGAACAGCAGTGAAAACCCATACGCCACCATTAAAGACCCCCCCATTTTAACATGCAAACACTCCGAGAGCAGCTACGTGGAAATGAAATCACCTGGTCACACGGAGTCCCCGTATTCAGAAATGCCAACTTCATCGACCGCCAATAAAAACATCTACGAAGTTGGTAAGCGGGGCGGGCGGCACGTCTGTGCCAGCAGTCGGTGCTTTTATTGTAGATACTCGTATTTTTTTTCCTTTCCCAACCCAAGCAGCACGGATCAGCGCGGTGCAGGGGAAGAAGGCCGGTGCACCAGCGGGTTGAGCCGAATCC